TTAGGTCCTCCAGAAGGGGGGAAAAAAAACAAAAACAAAAACGAAAAAAAAACCAAAACAAAACAAACAAACAAAAAAACAAACAAAAAAAAACTCAATGGGTGCTGCAGGTGTTTGTTAACTGGTTTCTGTTTGCTTTAGCAATATACTCACATTAACATACAAAAGTGATAACAGATCTCCCAGATTACACAAGAATGTTATTGCTTCCATATGATCAATCATTCTGTTTTCAGTCTGGAAATCTGTGGTGACCACAGATTTTGCAATCTATTCTGCACTCTTTTAAAGAAAAGGAATGGCAATATTTTGTGGCACTATTTTAAAATGTTTCTGTCTTATGAAATTTGCCTTCATATAGTACACAAGAGATTTCTATTAATTAGAATGAAGATAAATGAAGTGAAAAAGGCTGTGAAGGATATTATTCATGTTTAACAAAATAAAAATCAGTTGTTCTGATTTCATCTGTATTAACATTTTATGAGTTTGGGGGTTTGATTTGGTTTTGCTGGTTTGTTTTAGTTTTTTACTTTAAAAAACCCCAACAGTTCATAAGTCTGTCTTGTTTAAAATTGACTGGTCTGGAAGAAGCACTGGGTGAGCCCAGCTCAGATCAAAGAGCCCAGCACCAAAGTAATGTTTGAGAGACTCAGTAAGATGGAGAGAGTTCCGCCACAGTGTCTGCTGCCCTGGGTGTGTGGCAGATGCCTTGTGTGTGCCACCTTGGACACTTCTCTGGGTTAATTACTTTGTTAAATCAGAAACATATATGATGGAACCAATTAGCTTAATGGCATCTTGTCAACAACCACGGGTTAGCTCAAACATCTGTAGGACACTATGATATTGTCACTTTAAAACACAAGGCAGCAGTGGCTACGTGTCTTAGATAAAATCCTGGCCTGCTGAAGCAATGAATTGTGCCTTTTCACATACCAAATTCCAAACTTATCAGGCACAGAGCCATAAGAGATAAGGGAAAAATTGGGAGTTTTGCTGTTATTTTCTGAACACTTAGAGCTCTGCTTTCACAAGATGGGCACGGTGCTGTTCATGGAGGACTGCAAGGGCTGTGCTGAAAACTGCAATTGCATTTCTTGCAAAGCACAGAGCTGCATGACCCCTCCCTACAGCAGGACACAACAAACCCTCAGACACCTCAGATGTTACCAAGCAAAGAGGTCCAACCTTCCTCACCCAGGCCAATTACTTAGTGGGGAAAACTAGACAGCTTTTCATCACCATGGTCACTCCAGAGCCAGGTTTTTATGTGCCTAATCCCTCCTGTTCTCCACTTCACACTGCCTGCAACACATTTAATGAAGCTTGAAGCTGGATCTGTGCTATACATAACATTTATGGAGAACTGGAAGGACAGAATCACAATGTATTTGTAGTACAGATTTTTCTCTTGCTGCATTTTCACCCAGTGATACCCTGGACACAATAAAATACAAGGACAGGGTCTTTATCTGGAGCAAACACGCAGATTTTTCTCTTGTTGCATTTTCACCAATGATACCTGGACACAATAAAATACAAGGACAGGGTCTTTATCTGGAGCAAACACAAAGTAAACTCTACCAAGTACAATCTAAACACAAAAATCTCTTTTCCTGATCAAGAAAGCATTTGAAAGAATGTCAAACAGATGCCCCAAGAAAATTACTTCCCCTGCCTCTTTTGTCATCCCAAACCCTTATTATTACTTTTTGATTGATTTTTTTTGGCTCTTACCCACCCTCATGCTGATCTTCTTAGGTGGGCTCTATACAACTTTCCCAGCTTTCTTTCATCCCTCTAGTGTTCTTGCCAATAAATTATTCTAGTTTTATGAAAGGTTTCTTTTTTATTTCATAATAATTTTCTCTTGATCCAAAATGAACTAAAACTCAGTGGTTGGGTGTTTTGTTCTTTAATGCAACACTTGGTCTGCCAACAGCCTTGAAAATGTATTTCAGCCTTCTCTGTTTATTTGAAAGCTGTTTCTTCCAAGAAGGCTAAGAATAATGTGGTTACCATAGTATCCTTATCCACAACCAATAAAATGCAGCTTGGAATACAATAAAACAAAGCTGAGACTACTCACAAAATGTGACTGAATGAGTGAACACTGAAATCTTCACCCGACATCACTCCTAGCACTATGGAAAACACTCAGGTCTAAACCTTTTGGTCCAGCAGGGAAGATGAGGATAAGCCTGTCCAGCTATCAGCTATTTGAGATATTTCAATTCCAACGCTGAAGATGGCTGCTGCTTTGGAATTCCCATCTCACAGATTCAGTGTTCCACTGCAGAGATTTTGTACTTTTCTGTAATCTCTTGTTCTGGGAAGCTTTGCTGAGGCTCACTGGAACCAAGTGATGGATTAATTACTGCTAGGAACAAGTTGACAAAGTAAATAATGAACTGTTTGTTCTTACAGTTTTGTTGGCTCCTGAACAGGCAAGATTCTAGGGAACAAGCCAAAAATAATCTTTTTTTCTTTCAAGTCAACTGGCCAACAAAACCCCACATATGCTTCATAGATTATACTAATTACACCTGCTTTGGACACATCCATTTCTTTCCTGATTACAAGTGAGGGGATTTTACTCTAATAAAATGAACTTTTAAGAAATGAAAGAAAAGCAATTGTTCTCAATAATAATGAATAAAGAAAGAAAGAACCACCACATGCATGATGGTGAGACCTGCTGGCAAGTTTTTTTTCTGATTTTAAAAAAAGGGAAGGGAAGGGAAGGGAAGGGAAGGGAAGGGAAGGGAAGGGAGATACAGAGGATATCCTGTTTAATGCAAGCACCTGAGTGGGAGGGAAGCAGAATCCTCCTCCCACAGACTCAGTGCATGCTTTGGGACTGACCCTGTGGTGCCTGGGACTCTCATAAACACACCAGGTAAATGTAAAACACAACTCAAGATTTTGTGGTGCTCTGCTCATATTTTCTTGCCAGTGACACCAGCCCAAGATCACTGAGTTTAAATTAAAAAGCTCTGACCATGGTTTGATAACCCCTGGATGTAAGCAATAGGAAAAGAAAATGAAGCAACTCCCTTCCTTAGCCAGGGCTGTAGGTGGGGATTCTGAGCAGTGGGAGCAGGAGAACTGCTGCATGAGCATTTGCTGTTGTTGTTTCTGAAGAAAAGCTGTTACCCTCACTGTGCAGCTTTCTGGAGCTTTTTCAGACCCCAGAAGCACCATCAGTGGGTGTATCAAACACACACACTGAGAGCCACGTAGTTTCAGTTGTAGCTTAGCACAAGAAAACATAATACTTCTTTCATCCCCGCTTCTCATCTTGGGAAGGTCATGTGTAGCTAACAGAGCAAAGGAAAGAGAGAAAAAGGTGTAGGAGTTCAAGAGATCACTCATGTGGTGAACATGCTCCCCTCTTTCAAGCTCACCTCACAGAAAAAGCATTCTGTGTGTAGCAGGATGCCAGCTCTAGTGCACAAGATAAAAACCAGTACTTTTTCAGGCAAAACATCTTAGATCTGTTAGTGTGGTGCTCATGGCACTGCTTAAACAAAGTAGTAGGTTTTTACACTGCTGATGTCAACTTAATCAGGATCAGCACTATAAAAGAAAATAGCTGAAAACAGTGACTAAAAAGACAGGTGTTGCATTAAGGTAGAAAAATTATTTTAAAAAAAGACCTCATAAAATCAGGCCTGCTCTGTTAAATATGACTAAAAAGACAGGTGTTGCATTAAAGTAGAAAAATTATTAAAAAAGGCCTCATAAAATCAGGCCTGCTCTGTTAAATTGATAGCTAGCCTGTCATTTCTTCTAAGCAAAGTTAGCACTTTACAAATTGCCATGTGAAAGCAATCCTTGTGTGAGCAGTTCCTTAACACAATCTATTCCTAGGTGAAAAACAACTGGCACCTACATAAACATTAAATCCATCCCATGAGAACCACTGAAGAAAACATGTAAAGTATTTAAGAGTAGAGAGATTTGACAGACAAGTAAAATACCTTTTACGAACCAATAAAGTAATTAGCAAGAAAGCTACTGACCAATTAAGAGTCACACACAAGGTCTGTAACACTGTATAAAAAGGAGTGAATATGTGAATAAAGAATGGGCTTTTTCCACCATGAAGAAATTGGAGTCCTGTGTGATTTATTTCAGTAGGCAGGACTTTCACATCCCTAGAGTGAATACACTGGGGAACAGGAAGAAACAGCAAAGACCAAACCTGTATCAAACTTTGCACCCTCCTTACCTGTGACTAAAGAAACAGGTAGGCCAGGGATTTTTTTAACATTTCCATTATGCCTTCAGTACAACACACTCCAAGCCTGAACTTGTTCATTAATGTTTTTAACAAGTTCATTAGTGTTTTTAAACTTCTCAATCAAAAATAAGCAACAGGAGAGGCCCTGTGGCTGTGCATTGCCTTGGGGACAGCACCCTGATGGACAGCCCAGCCCCTGTTGTCACCCGGCTGTAAATGGTGCCCACAGTAAATGACATTTAAAGCCCCATGCACTGTACCATGACCAGCTTGGCTGTGGTTCCAGAGCCAGAACCAGCACAAGAAGCTTGGCTGTGGTTCCAGAGCCAGAAGTTTGGCTGCGGTTACAGAACCAGCGGCTTGGCTGTGGTTTCAGAACCAGAACCAGCAGCCTGGCTCTGTTTCAGGGCCAGCAGCCTGGCTGTGGTTCCAGAGCCACAACCAGCCACTTGGCTGTGGTTCCAGCAGCAGCAGCATCTTGGCTGTGGTTTACCAGCACCAGCAGCCTGGCTGTGTCCCAGCAGCAGCAGCAGCCTGGCTGTGTTCCAGAGCCAGCACCAGCAGCCTGGCTGTGGTTCCAGAGCCAGCACCAGCAGCCTGACTGTGTTCCAGATCCAGCACCAGCAGCCTGGCTGTGTTCCACAACCAGCACCAGCAGCCTGGCTGCGGTTCCAGGACCAGCACCAGCAGCCTGGCTGTGGTTCCAGAACCAGCACCAGCAGCCTGGCTGTGTCCCAGCAGCAGCACACACCTCGTTGATGGCCAGCTGCTCGCCGCCGCCCCCGGGGTGGCCGTAGCGGTGGTTGGAGCTGCGGAATTCCTCGTACAGATCCTCCTCGCTCCCCACATCGTCCGTCAGGGCTGTCTTGTCCAGGCCTCCATCAGTGATCACTGCAACAGCAAAATGCACACATTGGCACACAGCATTCAAAAAAACAAAAAATTCCTCCACATCACCCTATATATAAAACCAATTTTTAAAATATAGCACTTCTAAAATTTCATCTACATTTAATTCTATTTCTCTTAAATTACCACAAAAATATTTTTTATTTACAAAAACAAAACATAACCTATTATCCCATCAAACATTATAAATAATCCATATCATTTTAAAGAACTTACATTATTAACTCCTAATATTAAAATAATTACCCATATAAAACACACAGAAAAAAATAATTCATCAAAAAATATAAATCAAAATAAAAAAATAACTTGAAACCTTAAAACTTTAAAAAAAAAACCCCAACAAACCAGGATGGCAGCTCACTGGGGCGAGGAGCACCGTAATGCAGTATAAAGGGGAAAAAGACAAGGAAACTAGAGGAAATTTTGGGTCAGAATTCAACCCTTATGCATGCCTGTTCTTCAGAGAATTTTTCTCCACTCATGTTTTACCCCCATAAATGATTGTGTCTTTCTCTAGATCAGAAAATACAATTTAAAAACATTCGACAACTGCTCTATGTTGCAAAGAAAAGACCAAGCAAGAATAGCAAAACAAGGTCTGAAAAAAGGCACAGGGTAATGATGACACAAATGTGATTTTATTAGGACCTGGCTGTGGTGACAGCAAACTGGACTAAGTAACAAGCAGCTCATGCCTGCCACTTCATACATTGAGGATTATGATTTACCAAATCCTATCAGGTCAAAGGAAATCTCAGCCTTTGGGAAAAACCTTCACCTTTCTTCCACACACTTATTTGAGAATCCTTTTGGATGCCTAAAATGGTGTTTGCTCCAGAATTAGCCAATATTACCACAGGAAGGCCATTCTGCTCAGCACAGCCCCCAACAAGCTACAGATAATGGAGGGTTCACGGTCTGCAGCTACAACAAACACCAAAGGCCTGAGAAAAATAAAAATGTGGGATTTATATTCCTTGCACAGAAGAAAGTGTCACTTCACCTGTTTCATGGGCAGGGCTTTTTTCCTAAAGTCTCCTTGAGGCATTAGCAAATACCCTACAGTGCCGTGCAGTGTCATTCACCCCATCCCTGTACTGGTTACTGAACATGAACCTTCTGTTCTCAAATCTGTGAAAAATGACAGCGATTAAAGAAACCACTTGCTGGCATATTCATCTGGATTAGCAACTGCTAGGGCAACAGTTTCCATGACAAAGCAGTGGGCTTGACAAAGATTCCTGTGCATGAAGCAAGCACCTACACAGCCATGGTGCAGAGAACAGCTGATAGAAATTGTAATTTTAGTAAATGGACTTGACATGGCTACAGGAGTAAAACTGAATGAAAACACAGGCATTACTATCAGCACACCTGGCAACAGCCTTGGCTGTGCAAGTTACATGATGTGACCCTCCAAATTTTTGCAAAACAAGTGAAAAAAAATCTTTTGAGCTTGACTTTGTAGAGCTTTAACAGGGAGAGACTCACAAACCTGGTCTTGAGCCCTCCTTTCCCTTCACAATACAAGTGCATCTTATGCACCTAATTGTGCCATTGGGTCAAAAAAAGCACCCCATGATTTATTATCTTATTAATTACCTGAAACCAAAGCTGCACCACATGAACAGGTGAAAAAAGTATTTTGAGCTTGACTTTGTAGAGCCTTAACAGGGAGAGACTCACAAACCTGGTCTTGAGCCCTCACTTCCCTTCACAATGCATCTTATGCACCTAATTGTGCCATTGCGTGAAAAAAAGCACCTTATGATTTATTAGCTTATTAATTACCTGAAACCAAAGCTGCACCACATTAGCACTGAATGAAGTGCTGACAGAGGTTCCAAGCAGACCTGCAGAGTTTGTCCTCATCAACACTTTCAGGACATGGGATGGTTTGTTAAGGCTGCACCACCTGATCTCTGCTACTACCAGTGAGGTGTAAATTCAGTGTAGCAGCTATCAGTTCAATGCAGTGACCTGACATCAAAATGACAAGTATGAGCTATTTTTAAACTAAATACTTGCTTGTTTATGCTTTGAATTCAATAAATAGGCACAACACAGCAAAGATTGTCTGAAGCTGGGACTGCACTTGGTACTGATGGCAATTCAGGACACAGAGGTGCATATGAGCTTATGATTAAAGCAAATTTTCTGAGCAAGTATGGAACTACCCAACCATTCAACTTTAAGTGACATTTCACCAAAAAATCAAGCATTCCCCTAGCTTTGCTCTGACACCTCACATCGTTCATTATACAGAAATTCTGCACTGAATAAGTGCCAGTAGTAGAGATTGCATGTAAAGCAATTCTGGGGTTAAGACCTAGTCCATTAATATAAAACTCAAAACCAGCTGGAATACCACTGATATTATAATTTCATGCAGAGCTACCATGGTTGGAACTTTAAAAACTAAAGGTAAGGGCATTAAAGGTATCACATTTTGCTCATACACTGACTGAGAAACCTTTGTCTGATAGTAATGAACAACTTCCAGTGTGATAGTGTAGCACAGAAACAAATTAGAAACATTTTTCAAGAACAAATAAAAATAAATCATTTACAAGAAGCAAGTCAGCAGTCACTTAATTCAAAACTCTTCTGCAGCCCTCTGATCTCATTCTTTTCCCTTATTTTACACATGGCTTCATTGCTTTCCCCTTACACATCTTCTGCTATTTTCACTGCTGAAAGTAACCTTCAGCTTGAAAAATGTTCATTGGCATCTTTAAAGCTTTTGTTTTCTGCCCCCACATTTTCCTATTTGTTCTCTGATCTGTGCTTAGATGAAAAAGCAAAAGCTCCAGGGAGGTATTTATCTGTGTTACTTAAAATGCTCTGTACCTCTGCTAAGTGCCTTGAAAGCTGTGCTTGCTTTTACTAGAGATCTGTTTTTCCTCTTGATCTTACCAAGCTCATCAATTCTCTGCTGTCTCAAGACCAGCTACTGCATTTAGGATTAGTTTTCCTGGCAAAAAAAAAGTCCTTATAGACATATTGCACCAAAACTCTACTTCACAAGCATGAGAAAGTTCTCAATCATTGAAGAAGAATGGCCCAATACAGCCGTTGCACATCTTCCCAAATGCTACTGCATTTAGGATTAGATTTGCTGGCAAAAAAAAAAGTCCTTATAGACATATTGCACCAAAACTCTACTTCACAAGCATGAGAAAGTTCTCAATCATTGAAGAAGAATGGCCCAATACAGCCGTTGCACATCTTCCCAAACTAATGCTGCAGGGAAGAATTGAATTAATGAAAAATAAGAATTTGCTCTGAAGCAGGTTAGATGAAAGGCATGACCACAAATAAATAAAATAGTGGTCTGGAATGGTGACCCAATGCACTAGAAAGCCATCAAGGAAGCAGGAGAATGAAGGATTTTAGTGTAGGAACTGACTTAACGTGCAAAGCACAAACTAGGTCACGTAGAAAAGAAGAAAGCACTGTACAAAAATCTTAGAAGACAAGTTAGCAGAGATTGCTGAAGCAGTCTATCAGCCTGCCCACAGCACAGCACTGCCTGGACAGGCCACTATCAAACTGCACAGGGCTAATTCAGATGCTGCATTCCTGCCACCTCCAAGTGCTCATCTCTGTCTAACACTGAAATTCAGTGGCACAGTCAGGCCTGGCCTCTCTGGAACACTGACCTGACCCTGGCAGCCAGGTCACACCAAGGAACAATGTTCTGTCAAAAAGTAAAGGCAAGCATCAATTAACTCAAGCAGATTTCTTCATATTTATACCTCTGTCCTGATGAATTTCACTAAATATGGCAACAAATCCCACACACAGGATCAGAGGGAGGGGGAGTGACCAACATTTAGTACTACAGCCAATATGTGCAGGAACTAAAACTCTGTTTCTCGCTGCTGTTAGTCCTAGCCCAAGCTTGGGATTTATGTCATTACAGTAGAAAAGCAGATGGATAATGCTAGCAAGAGCAGCTCACAAAAGAATGCCACACAAACTCTTTTTTTAATGCATCCATACAGCAAAAGTGTCAAAAACCTGACTCCATGAAGAATTATCTTGGGGATATAAAGTTTCCAAACTCATACAAAACGTGTCACTGGAACCAGGGAGTGGCACAGGTGCTCTGTGTGCCTGAGCAGGCAGAACTTGGGCTGCACTCAGGGACAAAAGGGAAGGTTCTGTGCAAATCAAGTGAAGCTTGGTCAGGGTGGTCCAGGGGAAGGGCTCACCCTGCCCACACCTCCCTGCAGAGGCTGGAATGCAGCTATAAGCAGGCAGCAGTGGGAAGGGTCCTGGCTGGGCTCTGCCTGTGCCCCTGCCTTGCTGAAAGGTGATGCTAAGAGGTACTGGCACACAATTCCAGGGCTCTCCATGCCACCAGAAAGCCCCTGGAGCTGTTACCAGTTCTGTGGTTCCACAGGGAAGAGCACTCAGTGCCCAGAGGGAGAGACAAGCCTGGCTGAACATCCCATTGCCACCCTGCCAGTGCAACTGCATCCTGCTTAGAGGTAAATTGGGCAACTGGAAGGCAGCTGCCTGCATGGTGGGGTTTTCACAATCAAGCCTAGGTGACACTGGAGAGCAAACCAGTGGGGCTGCACTGGGACAGCCTTGATCTTCACCACCAACAGGGATGGCAGGGAGGGGAAAACAGAGAAAAGGTTTTGTCTTGTTCATCAAACTGGTGGGAAGACGAAGTTGGAATTAGATGATCTACTGGAGGTATCAGAAAACAAATGTTAACTGCAGTCCAGAGTTCAGTTCAGACTAATGTCACCTAGTGCAGGTTATGCAGTTCCACACATCTGTGCTCTGCTTCTCACTCAAAGGATGGACCTGCCTCACATATTCTGTGTGCCAGGAATTAGTGAACACAAGCTGCTGTCAAACAGTCAAAAAAAAGCTCAAACAAAAACCCAAACCAAAATAACAGCCAAACCCCCCCATACACCTACCACTATATTAAAAAAATAAATAAATTAAAGGAATAT